GTATTTTAGGAATTGTACATTATAATTTTGACACAATTTATCATCATGTGCAATTTTGAGCGTGTGATTCACACCCTCCATTAAATTAGTACAGTCCATCCATTTTTGCACTTTATTTTTAAGTTGAGGGGACTTAGTACAACCAGGGCCGGCCCAACAGCATATTTAAAAAAGTTTGGGCTATAGACCTCATTTCAAAGGAAGATCCCAAATTTTTAAACACAGTAAATAACTCATGTAAAAAAGGTCTTATAAAAATATAAACTTAATCAATCATTTAGGCCCATAATCCAATACAAATATTAAATATCTAAAAAAATTTAACAGTATAAAAAAAATGGCTGAACTAAAAGGTCATATCAAATTAAAAAAAAATCAAAAAGTCAAATCATACCTTTCTCTCTCTCTCTCTCTCAGTAAACCAACACAAAACAATTCTTCTTTTTCTTTCTCTCTCTCATTAAACTGGGAAAAAAAAAATCATCTTCTTCTTCTTCTTCTTCTTCTTCTCCTCTCTCTCTCTCTCACACAATGCTCTCAAGTCTCAACTCACAGATCAGACTCACGGTAACATACTAACTGTGAGACGATGACTCAGCCTCCATCCTCCATCATCAACTCAAGTTTTCATTGCAACATAAGGAACATGTTTCAGAACCAAAAAACCAACATTTGAGATCATTCAAGGTTCTATTGTTTCATAATTTTAAAATTTTTTGTTATATATTTTAACTATACTATATATTGTGTTTGTTTGTGTTTATTTGATTGTTATATAGTTATAATATATTAATAATATGACAACTAGAAGACAACCAAGTGGATACAAAAAATTAAAAAAAGAAAAAAGAAAAATAGATCAACTAATAGAATCTCAAAAATGATCTCTTGATAAATTTGTTACTAGTAACAAAAATAATGTAAGAAAAAATTTAGATGAAAATTTTGAAAATGGACAAGTAGATAATGAAATAGAAGAGAATAAAATAAAAAAGTATTGAATAAAAGATAATGAAATAGAAGATAATGAAATAAAAAATATTGAAGTAGAAAATATTGAAATAAAAAATAATAAAATAGAGGATGATGAAATAGAAAATATTAAAAAAGAAAATAGTGAAATAAAAGATGATGAAATGGAAAAATATTGATACGAAATTAAGAGATTTATAAGTAGAAAATCGTCAAATTAGATATAATAATTTAGATTTTTCTCGGGATGAACACTCTAGACATTTTTCCACTACACATTATATTCGCAAATTAACAAATGGGAAAACACTTGATAGAAGATGGCTAATATATTCAAAAGATTTGGATAAAGTATTTTATTTTTGTTACAAGTTATTCAATATAAATTATTCTACAAGTAAACTAGCTAATGAATGAACAAAAAATTGGAGAAATATTGGTGTTAAGTTTAAAAATCACGAAATAACTAATAAGCATATAACTAATATGAATACTTGGATTGAATTAGAAACAAGATTGCAGCTAAATAAAAAAATTGATAAAAATATCCAAGAACAAATTAATATAGAGAAAGAATATTGGCAAAATGCATTAGTAAGAATTATTGCTGTTTTAAAGAATCTTGGTAAAAATAATTTAGCTTTTCGGGAAAAAAAATGAAGATATATCAAAAAAATAATGACAATTTTTTAAGTTTAATTGAAATGATTGCGAAATTTAATCCGATAATGCAAGAACACATTCGTCGTATTCAATAAGATAGAGTTCATAACCATTATATTGGACATAACATACAAAATGAATTGATAAGTTTGTTAGGAATGAAATAAGAATCAATATTATTAAAAAAGTTAAAGAAGTAAAATATTATTCAATCATACTTGATTGTACTCCCGATATAAGTCATCAAGAACAAATGTCTCTTATATTACGATACGTAGGTATTACAATAAGTCCATAAAAATAGAAGAATATTTTTTAGAGTTTATTAAAGTAAATGATACGAGTGGAAAAAGTTTTTGATAAACTTATAGATGTAATAAGTAATCTTGAACTAGATATTAATGATGTCTGAGGACAAGAATATGATAATGGGTCTACTATGAAAGGAAAACATCAAGGTGTACAAAAAATGCTACACAATATAAATCCTAGAGTATTTTACACACCATGTGGTTGTGACACCCCAAATTAATGGGGTCCATTAATTTCCCATCAACCCACGGAATGCCCGTGGATACCGTATAACTCGATATCGCACCGTTGTGTCCCATTTATCGGGATCCATAATTTAACGAAATCCGTACAGNACCAAAATCAAGCCAAGATTTTATATGGATCATTCAAACAAAATAAAAATCAGAATATATGATTTTTATATAACCAATTATCTAAACATTCAAGAAATCACAAACTAGCACTTTCTAACTATCAATTCACACTAGAATTGATCCTACCCATTTTCATAGCACCAATTATAATGGAAAAATATTAGAAATACTNGTACGGGAAGCTCTACCCCAAAACACAATCTGTGCAATCAACATTTACATAACCCATTCGAGGTCCAATATAATACCATAACCACACAGGATCCATTTTATACATAAAACTTGACCATACCGGGTCCAATCATCATATTTATATCAAAATATGCAAGGTTNTAGAAATACTCAAAACAGCCCACATGAACCCTATGGATACCTTAGGTTAGAAATAGGTCCGAGTAGGAGGAACCCTACCTCTTGAAGCGTAAAGAATTTTTAGGAAGCCTTNAAACAGTCCATATAGACTCTATTACAATTCATTTACATATTACATGCCAAAATTTAATTACAAATCTACTTTTACAAAAAAAAAAAAAAGGATTGGAAGCCACAAGTCGGTTTTTCTTCAACCATGTGACCCTGACTGTGAGTNTACCCACGCGTAGCTCTCGTCGTGTAGATCAACTTTAATTCTTGGCCCGACGAATTCCGACCGATGGAACTCCGAGAATCGGCGAAAGAAAGTTTGAAGAATTATATTTTTTTCTTCTTTGCTCTTGGGTTTGATCTAGCCGGCCAAATGAAGAGAAAATATCTGATTTTTCATATATTTGCCCACTTTTATACTTTCTAAACACTTGACCCTCGTCGCGCCAAGTGTCGTCCTTTGTCCGGGTTCGTTTTTACCCCGAAACGATTAAATTTCATACCGATTTAACCTCAAAATATTTTATATGAACTTTATTTAAAATATTTTTTAAATTTTAAAATTTTTATAAAAATTTCGTTTTTAGGGGTCATCGAACACCCGTCCCTTGAAAAACGTGAAAAATCTGACTATCTCAGAATTCGACGAAATTTGTCTGGGTAACTAGATTTCGTGAGACGAATCCAACGGTGAGGTCCATTTCATCATCCGAGGTCTATAAAAATACCAATTTTTTTTAACCCGCACTATAATGGCAAATTACCATTTTGCCATTTTGTTTTTCAGAAAAAGTTAAAAAATTTTCCCGAGTTTCACAGTGGTTGTCATAATTTAAATCTAGTACTTTGTGAAATGACTAACTCTTTTCTCAAGGCTATATCATTTTTTGGAATAGTACAACGTATATATTCATTATTTTCCTCTTCCACAAAAATGATGAAAAATTTTACAAGGTAATATTCAAGGTTTAACTCATAAACCATGTGTTAAAACAATAAGATTTCAAGTTCCAAGAATAAGAGATGCATTATTGCAATTAGCAGAAACTAGTGAAGATCCTAAAATAAGGAGTGAAGCTAATTTTTTAGCAACATATGAGATTGAGAATTTTGAGTTCTTATTGGGTATGACTATTTGGTATGATATTTGTTTTCCGTCAACTTACTTATTAAATATTTACAATCAAAAGACATGCATATTAATATTGCTATAGATCAATTAAAATGTCTAATTTCTTTTTTTTTTTTGAAAAATATAGAGAAAGTGGATTTACAAATGCTATGATTTCATCTGAAGAGATTGCATGTAAAATGAGTATAAAACTTATATTTCGTGAAAAACGTAGAGTTCATAGGAAAAAAAAATAATTTGATGATGAGGTAACACAATCTATTAAAGAATCTTTTAGAATTGATTATTTTATATATATAATTGATCAAACTATTTATTCACTAAAGAATAGATTTGAACAATTACAAAAATATGAAAATATTTTTGGTTTTTTATTTAACTTAGAAAAATTAAAATCATTGACCAATGATAGTTTAAAAAAATATTGTTTAGATTTAGAATGTTTCTTCAAACAAGAAATTTTTTCCGATATTGATGGGTTAGATTTATTTTTAAAACTAAATATTTTAAAAGAAATTTTACAAACGAAAGAAAATACTCCAATTTACATACTAAATTATATAAAAAAAATTAGATTCTTTTCCAAATGCATACATTGTTTATAGAATATTATTAATAATTCTTATAATAGTTATTTATGTGAAAAGAAACTTTTCAAAATTAAAATTGATAAAATCTTACTTAAGATCAACTATATCACAAGAAAAATTAACTGAATTAGCGATACTATCAATTGAAAAAGATATGGTAGCAAAACTTGAATATAAAAACTTAATTAATACTTTTGCAACTCAAAAAACAAGAAAAATTAATTTTAAATAAAAAATATTAATACTAAACATAGAAGGCTTTATTTAGAAGTATCTCTTTAGGCCCCAAATTGTTTTGAGCCACCCCTGAATACAACAGTTAAAACTACGAGGAGTTTATGTGAAAATAACCCCAAGTATAGGGGGATTTTTTGAATTTAACCCTATTTTATATATGGAGAAGAATTCCATGACCAAAAAATTTTCCCCCGTCCTTTCATTGATGTTGGCGTCAGAAAACTTCACCAAAGTTGGTGCTTTGTTATGTGCAAGATAATTGCATAATTAGGAGAAGATTGGGCTTGCTGATTAGGAGAAGACATGGTTTGCTGCAAAAGAGGAGTACTGAATGGTGCATACTGCTGCTGAAGTCAAAGAAGGATTTTTAGTTCAATGAAACATGTGAATGTGAATCCATTATCTTGCAGATAATGGATGCGTCAATTATGCTTTTGCATTAACAAGTCAACAATAGTTATCATGATTATACGAATTCATGAAGCTCCTTTGAACTTATAAGGGGAGCTGTAGAATGGGTTTGGGCATCAGAACGTTGAATAATCAAGTCTCCTTTGAAGGTTTCCCCCTAGAAGTGGGAATTGGCCTAAGTTTTTTGTTCTCTTCTTTTTGTTGGTCATATATCTGGTATTAGAGTACGATTCTGCCCTGTGCGCCAACGATCATGACGGATGGAACTAGGGGTCAAGGAGCTAATCGCTTGGAAGATAGTGTCCATCAACTGAGGGATAGTTCCGACAAGCATGCTATTGCTATCTACAAACAAGCTGCGGAAATCACCGATTTGACTAAGCTTGTGACTGCTATGAATCTCAAATACGATTAGTTTCACAGTCATTTATCCTAGATGGCACTGATTAGTCAAGCTCTATGCTGCCAAGGCCTTTCGGACCAAAGATGCTAGGTTGGACTTCCCTCACTTTGATGGAAACAACCCAAGCAGATGGATTTATAGGTACGAACGCTTATTTAATTATAACGGTGTTAAGGAAGATAACAATGTTTATTTTGCTTCAGTCCACCTTGAAGGGAAGGCCGTCGTATGGTATCAAAACTATGAAACGGCTAAAAAAGAACGTCACTTGGAAATTTTTTTCCAATGATGTCAATACCCAATTTGGCCCCAGCAATTATGATAATGTGGTGGGACAACTCACTAAACTCAGGCAGACTGGTTCAATTAAAGATTACTAGGATCAATTTGAATCCATAATGGGGCACACTAAAGGCCTAACTGAGGAATTTTTTGTAGTTGTTTCATAAGTGGCTTAAAAAGATTCAGTTAAAAATGGTGTAACCATATTTGAACCTACTGCTCTTGCACAAGCAATAGGTCTTGCTCGCCTACAGGAGAAAACCATGGAAGCTGTGATCAAAGAAACCAAAGCCTCTCTTAGGGCTAACATACTAGTGGATTCTACAACTCATAACTCAGCCTCTCAGAAATCTATTGTTCAAGAGACTCTCCCTCCCATTCGCAGCATATCTCATGAGGAAATGTACGCACGTCAAGCAAAAGGTCTCTATTATTATTGTGATGAATCGTAAGTGTTTGGACATCGGTGCAAAAGGCATCAATATTTCTCTTGGAAGGCGAAGACATAGATAACTTCGGTGAACTGGTTGAAGGATATGATATTGACCCAACTAAAGAGGCTAAAGAAGAACCCATAATCTCTGTGCATGCCATAGCCGGTTCCACCTCATATCACACAATGTGAGGTTTTATCAAGCACAAACCTGTCACCTTTCTCATAGATCCAGGCAGCACCCACAATTTCCTAGATCCTTTGATTGCTAAAAAACAGGCTCCACAATCCATCTTACCAACACCCTCTCTGTTGCAGTAGCGGATGGCACCCAGATCACTAATTCTACTATGTGGAAACAACTTCAATGGATTATGCATGGTACCACGTTTGAGACAGATACGTGCCTCCTTCCTTTGGGTGGCTGTGATATTATGGTATTGGGAGTCCAATGGCTCGCTAACCTTGGACCCATCATATGGGATTTCAAAAATCTGATTGGAGTTCACCATCAATGGCAAAAAAATCTCCTGTGAGGTGCTACAACTGGACATATTAAACTCATTGTCACAGAAAAAATGGGTAAAACTCTACAGCAGTCCAACCAAGCATCTGTAGCTTATGTGTTTTCCATTGTAGATGAGTCCCAGTTGTTCAATATCCAGCTTGAGTCCCAACCGGAGCAAGAAATACCTTTCGAGCTGTTGGACTTATTAAACCAATTTGAGGAAGTTTTTGCAAAACCAAAAGGATTGCCGCCTACTCAGAAACATGACCACAGGATTCCTCTCAAGCCAGGGAGCTATCCTACTAATGTTTGCCCATACAGATATTTGTATGTACAAAAAAATGAGATCGAAAAAATTGTGAAAGAACTGTTGGAGATGGGGACCATCCAACCCAGTGTGAGTCCTTTTTCATCACCGGTCATACTTGTCAAAAAGAAAGATAATACGTGGAGGATGAGTGTAAACTATTGCGCTTTAAATCGTGACTTGATCATATACAAGTATCCGATTCCTATGATTAATGAGTTGCTTGATGAACTTGATGGGGCTCAATTTTTCTCCAAGCTCAATCTACGGGCTAGTTATCATCAAACTCGAGTCCACCCTAGAAAAAGTTCACAAAATAACATTTCGAACCCATAAGTGTCATTACGAGTTTCTAGTCATGTCCTTTGGGTTAACCAATGCTTCTTTTACCTTTCAAAGCCTAATGAATGAGGTATTCAAGCCCTTCTTGCAAAAAATTGTACTTGTTTTGTTTTATGACATATTGGTATATACCCGCACTTCGAAGGAGCACTCAAAACATTTGAAGCTTACATTTGGAAGGGTTGCAGCAAAATCATCTTTATGTTAAGCATTCCAAATGCCTATTTGGGCAGCATCAACTCAAGGATCTTGGTCATTTAATTTAAAATGAAGGAGTGGCAACTGACTCGACCAAGATTGAGAACATGGTCCAATGGCCAAAACCCACTTCGCTCAAGTCGTTGCGGGGTTTTCTTCGGCTCACTAGTTATTATAGGCAATTTGTTAATGATTACGGTAATATATGTTAGCCCCTTACAAATTTGCTGAAAAAAGATAGTTTCATTTGGAATGGTGCAGCCGATATAGCCTTTGTTAAACTCAAAGAGGCCAGTAGTTCCAGTTCTAGTGATGCCGAATTTCGACAAGACCTTCATTGTGGAGTGCGACGCATCCGGTATAGGTTTGGGTGCAATTCTTATGCAATAAGGAAGGCCTATCGCTTATGCAAGCAAAGCCTTATCACCAAAGAATCTTGGACTTTCCACCTATGAAAAAGAAATGCTTGCAATCATGTTCACCGTACTTAAATGGAGACCTTATCTGCTGGGTAGGCATTTCAAGATTTAGACTGACCATTTCAGTCTTAAGTACATCTTAGAACAAAGAATCACCACCCCAATGCAACACAAGTGGATGACTAAGCTACTTGGTTTTGATTTTGAGATCTCTTATCGAAAAGGGCATGAAAATGTGGTAGCTGATGCACTTTCTGATTTTATGGCTCTATCTATGCCTGTTGCACAGTGGATGGCAGAACTCCAACATGAATGGGAATCATTCCCAAGCATTCAACAACTCATACAAGCCATTCAAGCTGATCCAGAATAAGCCGAAGTTCGCTTGGGAACGCGTAACTCATACAACTCATCTCTACTAACTCATACAAGCCATTCAAGCTGAAGACTAAGCTGAAGTTCTCTTGGCTAGGCCCAAATTCCAACTTAAACCGTCGTATTTTACAAGAAGCACATGATCGGCCAAGTGGTGGCCATTCTGGGGTCCAAAAGACATTCCATCAGATCAAGCGAGCTTTTGCTTGGAAAGGAATACGTAAGGATGTGTGCTCATATATTGCAGAATATGATACTAGTCAAAGGAATAAGTCAAAAACATGGCTAAACCGAGGCTGCTTCAGCCACTAAATCTCATGCTAAAGAAAGTCATATTTGTTGTGGTGGACTATCACACACTCACAAAATATAATAGAAGAGACTATTAAAGATAGGAAGAACTATTTCTATTCACTCATATCCAAATAGATGTATTACATAGGATATATATAAACTCTCATATATATAACACATGACATACAAAATAATCCCATTACATAATGCAATAATAAAAGCTCTACTCTTTCATTACTTAGAGAATTAAAATACCACAATTACTTTGTTCCACACTAATACCAAATTGATGACCCACTACTACAAAAAATTAAATGCATAAAAATAACTCCTAAAACATGAAAAGTCATGTTTATTATTATTTTTCCAACATCAACTACGTATAAGTTCAGCCTATCACCCTCAAATCAATGGGCAAACTGAAGTCATTAATCGATGTTTGGAGTAGTATTTGAGAATTATGACTAGAAATAGGCCCAAGAAATGGGTCAAGTGGCTACCTCTAGCCGAGTGGTGGTACAACACTACATTCCACACATCTACAAGGCTCACCCCTTTGAAGTTGTGTACGATAGATCCCTCCCACGTACACTTCCTATGTTAAAGGAGAATCCAATGTGGCTACAATTGACAAAAGTCTTATCGGGATACTATGAGAACCTTGCACAATCTCAGCACTGCATTAAAACAACATGCAGATATGCATAGGATTGAAGGAGTCTTCAAAGAAGGTGACCATATTTTCCAAAGATTACAACTGTTTTGTTAAACTTCTATTGCTGGGAGAAGGAACTAAAAGCTTTCGCCTAAATGCTTTGGACCTTGTCGAGTGCTAAAGCATATCGAACCAGTTGCTTACAAGTTGGAATTTCTAGGCAGGACTCATATCCATCCAGTGTTCCAAGTCTCTTGTTTGAAGAAAAAAGTTGGCCAGAACATTGTTCCTCGGACCACGCTGCCACCTACAAGAGAAGATGACCATTTATAGCTTGAACCCATTGCCATTCTTGACCATCGAATGGATAAAGAAACAAATGGACTTTGACCAAACTCATACCTAGAAGATGCAACTTAGGAATGTTGGTATGATTTACAACGCAAGTTTCCCAATTTTCAGCCATAAGGACAAGACCGCTCTTGGGAGGGAATGATTGTTATGTACAAGATCATTGCATAATTAGGAGAAAATTGGGCTTGCTGATTAGGAGAAGACATGTTTTGCTGCAAAAGAGGTGTACTGATTGGTGAAGACTGTCGCTGAAGTCAAGGAGGATTTTTAGTTCAATGTAACATGTGAATGTGAATCCATTTTTTGCAAGATAATGGATGCATCAATTTTTGTTCTTTTGCATTAATAGGTCAACAATAGTTAGTATGATTATAGGAATTGATGAAACTCCTTTGAACCTTATAAGGGGAGATGTAGAATGGGTTTGGGCATCAAAACATTGAATAATCAAATCTCCTTTGAAGATTTCCCCCTAGAAGTGGGAATTGGCTTAAGTTTTTTGTTCTCTTCTTTCTGGTCGTATCATGGTTAGTAGAGTTCAATCTGGGAATCTGTCTTATCTTCTGTAAGAGACAAAAAATGAGAGTACCTCTTACAGGAACAAAAGATTGATATTTCTTGTAAAGTGTGCTTTTGAACTTGATCTCCTAGTCTTTCCTTCCTGCAAAACGAACAAGCTGCTTAAGATCGAAGTGCTTCGATCGAAGGCACTCTGATGCTTAAATCAGTAATGGAACTGAGTGAATTGCAAGAAGACAATGAGAGTTCAACATACCTTTCACCTTGACTCATTTTGTCTTTTATATAGTTCTATTTAGTTAGGGTTTCCTTGATTTTCGATTCAA